CTGAATCCAATCCTAGCCTTGGATTATGCCAGTGGTTTAAATTTAAGGAATTATAGAGGTGTGATTGAACCACTTTTGTCCTGCAGGTTTTAAGAATTGGCAAAATGAGGATATTTATATTAGATTAATAGTTTATTATTACAAATGGTCTGACAAAAGATCGTAATCAGAACTATTTATGACACAACATAAATGCTAAAAATCTACTAGTGGAGTATAATATAGCATAAAGTAGTATACTGCACTGTAACAAAGCAATTATTGAAGCGGTTATTTTAAAGCTAGCAAAAAGAAATAATTATTAAGTAGAGACCTGATGTAACTCACCCATGCCAATTCTCGTGGGGAGATCTCTTCCTCTCAACTTCAAGGAGTAACCTTCAGGGACATCCTCAGGCCAAAGGAGGAATCTGAACACATACACTCCAAGAAGGGTTATATCAGAAGAACCTGTGTGAAAAAGGACTAGGCTTTTATAGTATTAAGTGATTGACTCCTAGTCACACATTTACAGGCCAGCTATCAGCTTATCTGTCAAACCAGTTTTCAAAAAGTAGGGTGTGTATTCGAAGTCTGGTGAACCAGGATGGTTTTAGCATAATTAACATCAAGATGACACCCTGGCTCTAACAGTTGATCTTGCATGATAGCTTGTATGATAGCTTGCTTGGATTTTAGGTCTTATCAGGGTAGGTCTATAATGCCACAAGCTTGCCACTTCCCGATTCTTCTGGATGCAGTGATTTCTTATACTGATAAACTCTAGATGCAAAAATGCTCATGGGCAATAGCAGGGCACATGAGTAAAAAGGTGCCTTCTGTTAGGTGTATTTTTCAACTCATACAGAGCCTTAATTCTGGCTGACATTTGCTCGTAAGGAAAACAAACCTCTAAGCAGCACTACAAACTCACAACCAGTCTGAAGTTGTGCCAAATATGCTGAAATATACACCTATCTGAGTATGTGCATTTCATCATCTTGACAGTGGATGAATAAGTAGAGATAGCCTCTATTAGCCTATTCTATGATTCTATTAATAAAGAAACTGAAGCAATTAGAGTTTTTAATCAAACATTATGCATAATTTTTATTCTGTAGTAATCTGAATCACATTGAAGTCAAATCTATAATATCTGATTATGACTCCCAGCTGCTACTGTGTGTGTTCTGCAACCAGCACTTGAATGCAGCTGCTATTAGTAACTAATTTGTCTTACATTGGCCCAGCAAGTTGTTATGACTGGCATTTCCGTCACTCCAACACTTTCTGTGCAACTACACTGACATAGATATTTGAACATTTCATACTCCCCTTTGATTTTCCTGAGTGATTTTCAGTTCATCTAAAATTTCTGTGATATTTCCTTCAACTTCCTGTAAAAAAGACATAAATGTTGAGAAACATTGAAATATCCTTCAGTATATAAGAAAACATTTGCAGTGATACTAATTGGCAATGTGTCGGATTAGCATTTAAAATACTCCAATACTTTTTACTCCATTAACCTTGACATAAATTATAGTAAGTAGTCTCTGTGTGACAGGAGTTTTAATTTAGCACTACATCTCAAGTTACATACGTCTTTGAGTCTGACATAGAGCCTTTCTTCTTGCCAGTTCTTTTTACCTTGAGGGAAACCAAACAGACAGTAAAGCCAGGGCTTACTGTGTAAACGAGCAAGGGTGTTCATAGCATCATTTTTGCTAAAGCAGTTACTGTGATACAAATGACTTGGTTTGGTCTTTCAGCATCCATGTCCATTTCTGGATTTTAGATTGAACTGCTAGACAAACCCTGATGGAAAGAGCTTTGTTTTTCCCATTTCACTAACATCTCAAGTGATGCCATTTTTTTTTTGGTTACTAACATAGAGCTTCAGACTTCAGAGTGTGAAGCAGGATATCAGCTGAACCTAAAATTGTTTTATTCAAACTATTACTCACTTCTCTCAAGACATCTGTTTGTTCCTATATTTTACAGAAGTCTTTCCAAGTTCCTCTTGCTGAGCTATTCCATGGATTTTATATGCTGGGGTTATCTACCACAGTTTCTTTTACCTCATTCCCATGCCTTCAGTACAGCTGGAAGCAGAAAGCTTTTGCAGCTTTGATTTACATATTTAGATCAAAGTAATGTAATAGCTCTCCACAGTAATTAAAAAAAAAAAAAAAAAAAAAAAAAAAAA